CAACAAATGTTAAAATGCTCTCAACAATCTACTCTCTGTAATACATTACAAATAAAAAAAAATTCCCAGTATAAAATAAACTTGGTGTTCCTTAATCAAGGGACTAGAAATATCTATTGTGCTCAAACAAGCAATGAGCTTTATTTATATTGAGTAACCTCAGAATGAAATGAAAGACAATGGATAAATTATACAGAAAAATAGAAAGTGCAACAACTATAAGAGAAACATACACCCCCTGTGCCTCCTGCACAGCGCCCACATAGGGCTGACAGCTGGGCAGCCTGTCACCGGATGATCTGTAGTGAGACGCAGAGACGCTGTGCAGGAAGATGGCAATGGAACAGCATGCCAGGGGAGCCAAGGAAAATTGAGGGGTTAAATGAAGTTAGCCAGCAGGAGATGGCACATATCCCGCAGAAGCACTACATGAGGGGAACAAGGGACTGGAAGTCAACTGCAGGTTTCCACCCCTGACGGACAAGGAACATGCCCACAAGCAGCACCTAACAAACAGCACCTTCTCCCAGGCACTCATGGAGGAAAGGCGTAAGAGCAGAAGTCTAAGAGATCGTGCAAATGTTTCTCAGAGACCCCAAAGGAATTATTTACTATCTAAACAGGAGTGTGCTTTACATGGTTACGATTAAGGTAATTTTTCCACTTCAAGCAAGTTACTAAAAAATTATCAGATTATACAACAGACTAAATAAATTCTCTATGTATCTATATTGTAAGGTCAGTAAATATATAAAAGCATTAGCAAATACCTGATCACATGTGGAAAAGAACACCTTAGCCATAAAAGCAATGGGAAAATTTGATCTAAAAAATCAACAGATTAGACCATAAAACATTTTAAAACTACAGCACATAAACAAACACAAAATTAAAAGCCAAATCTTTAAAACCAGGAAAATTACAACAAATAAAACAGACTAAATGCTAACACCCTCAACACATAAACATTTGAAAACTGCTCAAAGCAAGACAATAAAACTCAGCAAATTGAAACAAATCAAAAAAGGATGGGCAATTAATAAACATCTGAAAAATTGTTCACTCTCACGAGCAGTCAATAAAACTGAAATTTTTAAATGCCATTTTTTAAACTATCAAACAAGATAATATAATGTGGGGAGCAGCCCGGACTGGACTGAGTTACTGGAATTAAGACTTATTCTATGCATCTGCTCTCCCACAATATGGCGCTGGGAGAGAAGTAAACAGCTTCCGCACAGCTGCCTCCAGTTCAACCAATAAACTGTAGGACTTGCTACTGATTGGAGGAGAGCAGCGTACTCGGCATGTGGGCAGCCGAGTTGGGATTGGCAGAGGAGGACTATAAAGGAGGAGAGAGACGGCATGCACCGGGGAACATCTAAGGGGAATATCTGAGGGAACACCTGTGCAGCCCCCGAGAGAACCGGCCGGCGGTGTGCCGCTCCCCTGCGGAAGTGGGGAATGTGGCCAGGGGGAACTGCCCTTCCACGGAGGTGGAAGGGATAGTAGCCAAGCCGGGAAGAACCAGCAGCAAACCCGGGGAGGGCCGAGCAGACAAAAGAACAGTGCAGGGTCCTGTGTCGTTCCTCCACGAAGAGGGGGAGCAACATAATGGTGCCGTGACTTGGATTAGGAAACCTAGGACGGATAGGAAACTTAGGAGGGAAGAAATGGGAAAGAAATGGGAAAATATCGGAGAGAGAGACTAGCAAACAGCCTAGGGAAAATATCGGAGAGAGAGACTAGCAAACAGCCTAGGGAAAAGCCGGACGAAAAAGGTGCCGGAAGAAGTTATTGAAAGCCTAGGCATAGACTCAGATACGGACTACGGGGGGAAGCTGGGAGAAATCTCTAAGGTCGAAAGCGAAAGTGAAAGCTAGAACAAACAGACTCGGACGCGGACTGTGGGGAGAGGCCAGGAGAAATGAGGGAGGAGTATTGTTGGAAGAAAACTTAGGGAAACATACCGGGTAGAGAAAAGTGTTAGGGAAATTGAAGCCGCGGGGGGCAGGCTGAGGCGGAAACGAAAGCCACTTTGGGATTCTCAAGTTAGCCCGGGAATAGGGGGCGAAAAGTTGAAACCAGAAGCGGAAACGTAAGCCGGATTGGGATCCGTCTGATTAGCCCGGGAGCAAAGGACGGAAGCAGATCGTGGGCGAGACGTGAGCTGGGTTGATTCGCCAGGCTAGCCCGGGAACTTAGATGATGCTAGTGGTGGAGACGTGTAGCTGACGCTGTGTGACTCGCGGAGGCTGCCGTGTGCAGAGAGAGCGTGCGGGGCACGAATAGATAGGGAACGCAGGGCTGGCGCGAGGCCGTGGTTCAGACGCGAAAGGGCTAGTGAGAGACCGCGGAGTGTGCGCGCGAAGCCGAGCCGCGCAGATGAGAGAGGCGCGGGCTGAAGCGGCTCAGAGCCGGCGAGGCGCCGAGAAGCAGCCTCGGGGCGGAGCCCGCCGGCGGGGCGGGCGCCGGGAAGCCGCGGGGATAAGAGAAACAGAAGTTTAGAAGTAAAATGAGAGAAATGGGAATGTTGGCAGACAGAAGTAAAATGGGAGAAATAGGAATGCCCGGAGATAGAGAAATAGAGAAATAGAAAGGCCTCCCCTCAACATGGCAATGAGAAAGCTTGGATTCGGTCTGCCTGATTAAGTGAGGCGATGAGCACCTGCGGGCGGCTAGCAGCTTATGCGCCGCAGGTCACCGAAGACAGGCACGAATTAACATCAGTAAGGCCTCCCCACAATACAACAATTAGGAGGCTTGGATTCGGTCTGCCTGATTAAGGCGGTAAGCACCAGCAAGCGGCTCGACCAGAGTGTGAGCCGCAGGTCACCGAACACAGGCACGCATCAGCGCCTAAAGACCTCCTTACAACATGGCAAAGAGAGGACCCGGATTCGGTTTGCCTGATTGATAGGACTTGTAAGAACCTGTGGCAACTCTAGCAAGTAGAGCAGAGTGTGTGCCGCGGGACACCGAAGACAGGCGCGTATCAACACCAAAAATAAAAAGAAAGGGGGATCTGTGGGGAGCAGCCCGGACTGGACTGAGTTACTGGAATTAAGACTTATTCTATGCATCTGCTCTCCCACAATATGGCGCTGGGAGAGAAGTAAACAGCTTCCGCACAGCTGCCTCCAGTTCAACCAATAAACTGTAGGACTTGCTACTGATTGGAGGAGAGCAGCGTACTCGGCATGTGGGCAGCCGAGTTGGGATTGGCAGAGGAGGACTATAAAGGAGGAGAGAGACGGCATGCACCGGGGAACATCTAAGGGGAACATCTGAGGGAACACCTGTGCAGCCCCCGAGAGAACCGGCCGGCGGTGTGCCGCTCCCCTGCGGAAGTGGGGAATGTGGCCAGGGGGAACTGCCCTTCCACGGAGGTGGAAGGGATAGTAGCCAAGCCGGGAAGAACCAGCAGCAAACCCGGGGAGGGCCGAGCAGACGAAAGAACAGTGCAGGGTCCTGTGTCGTTCCTCCACGAAGAGGGGGAGCGACAATATAACTTCTTAAACCTCAGCACTGAGTAGAACAGACATTCCTCATGTACTGCTAGAAATCAGCATCAACTTTAATGTCATTGTGCTATGTATTACTTTTCTGAACCTCAATATTTGCTTTAGAGTTATCCATCTTGAGAAAATAGTCGGTAAAGGGAATAAAGTTTTGTACAAACAGGCTGCTTGAGGCATTATTTGTAAGAGACAAAAAAGAGGCAGAGGGGACACTGAGATGATCAAAATTAGACATACAACATAAAGACACCTTACCATGGGAAGCATTATGTAGCTATTGGAAATATTCCTCAAAGACTATTTAAAGATATAAACTGGTCACTACACTAAGTGAAAAGAGGGTACCTACAACAAATACAGGACAAACAAATTATGATACCTTCATAAAAAGAAAGGGTATTCAGTAATTTTAAACACAACAAAACCCTCATATAAACAAACATGGACGAATCTCAAAACAACCAAAAAAGAACAAAAAAAATTTATGAAGTTAAAGAAGTCAAAGCAAATACTGTCTGAGTCCAAATGCATGAAAATTCAGCAACAGGCAAAACGAATCTAAGGCAACAGAACAGGGGTTACTCCCGGGCAGAAGCTATCAAAATCCATGGTGTCCAAAGACACTCTCACGGCTCAGGGGATGTTCTGCATCATGATTTTAGCAGTGATCACTTCAGGAAACACATATTTAAAAAAATCATCAAATAAAATATTAACACATACACAAAATAATGAAAAGAAGCCTTCAAGATGTACAATTAAAGAGTTGTACGTTGTACCAGAAACATATGATACCATCATAAAGTACTTACAAAAACTGAAATTTGGTTAAATATATTTCTATACAAAGAAAAAAGAATGTAAGGTCCATCAAAATATTAACAGTAGCTAAGTTTTATATTGCAAATTATTTAAATTTTCTTTTTACCTTTCTTCATTTTCCACATCTTCTATAATGGGTTTTATGACTTTTATGATTGGGGGATAGTGAAGAAAAATCCACTAAAGTTTATTTTGAAACTTCCACCATGCTCATTAAAAAAAAAAAAGTTATATTTGTAACTATCACAAAGTACAGGAAGACAAAGGAAATCCTTCCTCCTTCCAACAAATTTCCTATGAATTATACACTCACTCGTGTCTGTTAATTATGAAGGCAAATCAAGAAAATTTAGTTCTGCTTAGTAAAAGAATGAGAAAGTCAACTGGGTAGCCAGCACTATAAACTGTGAGACAACCTCAAAATTGATCCTGCCTAGAACAAATACAGGATTTTCACGACTCAGCTGGAACTAGTTCTTGAAAACTAGGTGTTTTTTTTTTTAATTTATTTTAAATATTCTTTGTGAACCCGATTTACCTAAATTCCATACAAAATGCCCAAGTTTTCACATTGTATTTACGATAAGAATACTGAGTTTCACAAATTTTTCAATGCTCATTAAAAAATAAGAACAAAACCAAAGAAGACATACAAACCTCTGATTGTACATGCCCCGAAAGTTGTAATTAGCTCTATAATTTGGGAATGGCTTTGGATCTAATGGCCTGTAGATGGCAGGCTCTCCCCTTTTCATAGCAAGCCCATTCAGTTCCACAGTTGGAGTTATACTGCCTGTTTAAAAAAAAAAAAATTAAAGGCACAAGTGAAATATTTTCACAATAAATCATGCACGCTATTTTTAGGCTACATTCAATTACCATGGAAGAAGGTGAGAGTGGACTGCCCATCTGTATGGTTCGCTGCAAAAGCGCACAAAGTAAACAAAAGAGGAAAAAGAAAAGAGTATCTACTGAAATTCCTCTGGGGCTTCTGCAGCATTTTCTGTACATTAATAAACAGAACTTCAACTGTATAATCATCCTATTTGAAACAAAGTAAACACAGTTCTTAGATTGTTTACTTTGGATATTACCTTTAAAAGCACTGGATTTGAACACTACTTACCCCAGAAAGTACATGCATTTGATCATTAAAAACATCATCTGTGAATATTTTTATTTATACTTTGGTAATAAAGCATCCAACTTTAGCCATGATTACAGCGTCATGAATAATTCCTGAACTAATCTAATGATTAGTGCTGCTCGTACATTTCTTAGTATTTGCTAGGAATAGCTCCCTGCAGATTTTTCCTCAAACTAAAATTTCATCTATTCCTATCAAATATTAAGAAATGTACGAGCAGCATTATCAATAAAGCAAAAGACTAAAAACAACCAAAGCTATAAAAAGTAAAAATAACACACATCTTAATCTTTTACTTAATGATACACCTCAGACAATATACCTCAGCAGTAATGGGTACATTATTAAATGAAAAAGAGCAAATTATCAAATACTGTGTATTTTACCTTATCTTTTATTGAAGAAAGGAAAAAACATCGATATAAAATCTGATAGATTAGTATAAATGAAAATAACTTTTAAACTTTTTCAGGCATAAACTCAAAATTAAAACAAACAAACAAAACTATAGGGAAAAGGCACAAAGAAAGGGAGAAATGGCAGCTGGCCCTCTCAGAATGTACACTGTTTATAGATTTTATCTTGAAAATGTGAATATTCTACTTAATTTGAAGTAAAACAATTCCAGCAAAATGGGGGAGGAATTGGAAATGGTGCCCAAAATTCAAAGAAAAATTAAACTGAATCTAACTATTAACCAAGTTGGTAACTTAACCACAGAGAGAATTGTTTCAAATAATTTTAAACACTGCAAAATACTTATGAGATAGTTACTAAAGGAAAAGAAAATCAGTAATCTTAAACTGTTTTCAGCATACTGTTAGTAACATAACTATAACTACTAATATGTTTTGGTTTACTTAAAACAAAATTAAATCAAGATGGAAACAAAGTAATCTCCAAAACAAAGCAATTAAATTAACAATAAATCAAACTTGTGGCCTTAGTCAAACAAGGAATAATTATTTCAGAAAGCTTTAATATATAATAAAATTTCTCTATTTCTTAAAGAAAAAATATAACACCTGAAAGAAATCATAATTCAGTAATTATGTTGTTAGTAACAACAGTATTATTACTCTGAAATTATTATGTATTTATAAATAGGCATAAGATAACATAAACACTGTTAGAAACCAAGATTTTTAGAATAAAAGATGGGTGATACAATATAAAATCAAAACTTTCAGTAACATCCTGTAGTCTTACATTTGAGTTCATGATGTAGGTTCTCCTGAGCAAGGTATGTCCTAGCCCTGTCAACTTAGGAGGCCTAAAGGCAATGACCAAATTAGCAAAGAGGACAGGCAGCATCCAAAGTTTTGTTTACAACTATCATTTCCCACTTCAACAAAAATATATTTCTTGGAGAACAGCTGATTCCAGATCTGAAAGTGATATGATAAATAAAGGGAAAGAACCAAGTACCTCTCTTGTTTTTCCTGAATAAACTATACTCACAGCAAACAGGTGAGGGAAAAACTACTCATTTATGAGTACTGGGTGGAAGTTCAGCTAGTCAATGCAGAAGGAATAATTCCCAAAACATCACCATTTTGCTAATGCCGATAAAATATCTTTTAGGCAATGCAGCGAGCTGCTGCAATAATCATTAAGTCAGATGTTGATAGGGAACTTGATGATGAATGAACCATGCTAATAATAAAGGGACCCACTAAGTAAAACTTGTAAATCTCAAAATAAGACACAAGAAAGTAAGTGCCTGTCTGATGTAGCACAATAGGAAATAGACAAAACTACCTATAAGGCAGTCTTGCCACAAAAAAAAAAAAAAAAAAAATTCAAACCTAAATTACACAGCTTCCAGACTATCAGTTTGTAGGGAACACAGGAGCTAGGCAAACAGGCTAAACACACCACAAGTTTGCTATCAGCAAAACCAAGAACGTGGAAAATTCTACAGGACTAACGAACACAGTTTCTTCAACCAAACAATCTGTGTGGTAAAACAAAGATAGAGAAGGATTCTGTATCTTAAAGGACTCTAAAGAGATGATACCAACCAAATACAGCAGTAAATGGACCTCATTTCAATCTAGATTCTAACAAACCAACATGAAAAAAATGAGACACATTTATTTATACGTGGAAGCTTAAAAAGCTGACCTCATAGAAGTAGAAAGCAAAATGGTTACCAGACACTAGGAAGGGCAAGGGTGGGGGAAGAAAAGAGGATGGTTAATGGATACAGGGGTTCTATAACACATCAGGGTGACTATAGTTGACAACAATTAACTGTATACCTCAAAACAGCTAATAGAGGATTTTTAATGTTTCCAACAAAAAGAAATGATTAACTTTTTAAAAAAGATTTATTTTATTTAGAGTTACAGAAAGAGGTCTTCTAACCACTAGTTCACTCCCCAAATAGCTGCAATGGCCGGGACCAGGCCAGGCCAAATCCAGGAACCAGGAGCTTCTACTGGGTCTCCCACATATGTGCAGGGGCCCAAGCACTTGGGCCATCCTCTGCTACTTTCCCAGCTGCATTATTAGGGAGCTGGACTGGAAGTGGAGCAGCCAAGACTTGAACCAGCACCTGTGTGGGATACTGGCACTACGGGTACCAGCTTAACCCAATATGCCACAGCACCAGCACTGAAATGATCAATTCTTTTTTTTCCCCCTTAAGATTTATTTACTTATTTGAGAGGCAGACTTACAGAGAGAGAAGGAGAAACAGAACAAGAGAGATCTTCCATCCACTGGTTCACTCTCCAAATGGCCTCAACAGCAGGAGCTGGGCCAGGTCAAAGCCAACTGCCAGGAGCTTCTTCTGGGTCTCCCACATGGGTGCAGGGACCCAGGGACTTGGACTAGATGGCAGGGAGCTGAACTGGAAGCAGAGCAGCTGGGACTTGAACCAAAGCCCATACAGAATGCCTTCACTGCAGACGGTAGCTTAACCTGCTGCGCCACAGCGCTGGACCCCAAAATGATAAATTCCTAACATGATAGATAAGCTATTACCCTGAACCAATTATATATTGTGCTGAAATAACACATAACATACCATAAATATATATAATTATTATACATCAACTAAAACTGTAAAAAAATTTAATTAGACAAATAAAAGTTGAACTCTAAACTATTTTTAATATTAAGAATAATTGTATTATATACTAAAATAATATTGTAGAATGTTAAGGGCCCTTATCTGAAAATTCAGTATGTAGCTCTCAAAACACATAGAATATTTCAAAAAGTTCATGAAAAATGGAACTAAAAGATAAGCTTTGCTGCAAAAAATTTTTTTGAAATTCATTCAGTTTTTTCATAACACACATGGTCCAGACCTTTTGACAATTCCTTTACTGAATTATTTATTTATGGATGAAGTGTTATACCTGAGATTTGCTTCAACATAATAGAACAAGATTGGCCAAAGTGGACTGATAATCAATGATGCTGGGCTGGGTTATAGGGGATGTTCACTATTTCATGCTTTCTACTTCTGCAAAAGTTGAAAAATTCCACAACAGGGGTCAGCACTGTGGTGCATCAGGTTAAGGCATGGCCTGTGACACTGGCATCCCATATGATACCAGATCGAGTCCCAGCTGCTCCACTTCTGATTCAGCTTCCTGCTAATGCACTTGGGAAGGCAGAGGATTACGCAGCTCTTTGGGGCTTCCCTCCCACGTGGGAGATTCACATAGAGTTCCAGGCTGCTAGCTGCAGCCTTCCCCAGCCCTGGCTGTTGTGGCCATTTTGAGAGTAAACCAGCAGATGGAAAATCTGTCTCTCCCTCTCTTTCTCTAACTGTGCCTTTCAAATAAATAAATAAATCTTTTTTTTTTAATGGTAATAGAATAAAAAGCCAGTTACACTGTCCCCATCCAGGGCCAGTGTTGTGGTACAGCAGGTAAAGCCACCATCTGGGATGCTGCCATCCCAAATGGGCATCAGTTCAGGTCCCCAGCTGCTCCACTTGTGATCCAGCTCCCTGCTAACAGCATGGGAAAAACAGCAGAAGATGGCCCAAGTGTTTGGACCTGTGCCACCCACGTGGGAGTCCCACATGAAGCTGCTAGCCTCTTTTAGGTCTGGCCCAGCCCTGGCCATTGTGGCTACTTTGGGATTGAACCAGCAAATGAAGATCTATCTTTCTCTTTCTCTCACCTTCCCTCTCTCTCACTTTATAACTCTGCCTTTCAAATAAATAAATATTTTAAAAAAGAAGCTTCTTGCCAATGCAGACCCTGGGAGTGGTGGTGATGGTCCCTGCCACCCAGCTCCGGGCTTCAGCCTCAATCCCCCACCAGTGTGGTAGTATGGGGTTTGATCCAGCAGAAAGGATATCTCTGTGTCTTTCTCTCTCTCTCTCTCTCTCTCTCTCTCTTTCTCTCTGCCTCTCAAAAACATTCAAGAAAAAAAAATTAAAGGATAATGGAGCCTGCCACAAATGCACATAATTGGCATCTATAAGTTAATAAACTGCTTATCTCATTTTGAAAAAAAAAATATAAAATCACTAAAGATTACAAGATTAAGAACTAAATCAAGGTTAAGAAGGGAAAAGGAGAAAAAAGGAAGAAGAAAAAATAAGTTAACATACTGAATTCCAAGTCTAATTAGTCTAAATCCCTAATTTCACACATACACTTTTAGCAAAGAAAGAA